TCAAGCTGCACCAGGGGAAGTTTAGGTTGGATATTGGGAAAAATTTCTTCACCAAAAGGGTTGTCAAGCACTGGCACAGGCTGCCCAGGGAAGTAGTTGAGTCCCCATCCCTGGAGGTATTTAAAGCACAGGTAGACGTGGTGCTTAGGGACATGGTTTAGTGGTGGATTTGGCAGTGCTAGGTTTACGGTTGGACTCGATGATCTTAAGGGTCTTTTCCAACCTTAATGATTCGATGATTCTCTAAAGCCTCAAAATGTGACACAGAGCTTTATCTTCTCAAGGTCACACATAATCACCTGGTGTTACATTAAATGGTCTCCAGTAAAAAATACTTAGATTTGAAAACAGATGTCTAATAAGAAGAAAATTGATTGTCTTTTAATCTGCAGGTGAAAGTTTTATGTTTTAGACAGCTTGTGACGATTTAGTCATGCTGTTTAACCCTTGTGTGGTGAACTTAAATCGTTACCTATTAGAGTGCTCTAATGGACCCTGTAATGTAATCATCTTCCCAGGATGTGCTAACTGCATAAAGCACGTCCCTATGCTGACTTGTGGAAAGAAATTCTGTATTTTTCCTTTGTGTGTTAGAATTAGAGGTTCAGGTGTCAGCATTAGTAGCATGTGAGATATTCTATGGAAAGATTTTTGTGAAAACCTGTCTTTACCTCTTCTATTTAATTGCCTTCAAAAAAGTATTGGGATGCCCTGTTTAGAATACATTTATGGCACTACATCTAAATTAAGAATATTCTTGGGTATTTCTATAGTTGCATACTTTTGATCTAGAAAAGATGCAAAAATAAGACATTTTAATGTATATTTAATAACAAAACAACCTTCCTGCCTCAGAAAAAAATCCGGCCAGGTGAACTATGATCTAATTTTCCTCTATAAAGAAAACAAAATCATAGCTCCTGGAGCATTATTCTTGGCTCCCAGCAGTTTCAAGGCATGCAAACATTACCATTTCGATTCCATCCTGCAGTTTAACTGGAAGGATTATGTCACAACATAGTATGTTTGTTTTCCAGCTTTTTGTCTGTTTGTCCATCAAGACGGCTTTGTAGAAGTATCGGTGATTGTTGACTTTGGAGGTAGTGGAAGAAAAAATAATTATGAAAAAAAAAAAAAGGCAGACAGTACCATTTAAGTAACTATGCTTCTGTCATAGGAGAATGAATACTCCTTTCAACAAATCTATAATTTGCAGAAGTTGCAAAAAGAAAATAGCCGTAAGGTGACTGTTAACATACTTCAGATAATCCTGCCAAGAAAGTTAACTTCATAAAGTCATTAAACCAGTGATTACATTTTAAAATATTATTCCCCAGCCATTTCTTCTTAGACTTGAAAATATAGTGACTGTATATACTACCTTCTTTGTAATGTGAAAAATTGTAAAATACACTTATTTTTCATAAACTGCTAATTATTAACAGAGCTATTTGCGCTCCTATAGTTAAAGTCATTTCAACACTTCCGTTATTTAAACTTCACTTTTAGGGGTTCATAATTTGGCTGTAATAAAAAATATATTCAGACTCCGAAGTCTCAAATATTGTTTGCTGGTATTAGGATATTTAGCCTGTTTTTCTTTAAAAAGCTAATTAATTTGGATTGTTTGCCGTTCTTCAAGATAATCCCAAACAAAATATTTTGGGATGTGGACTAAATAAAAAGATTAAAAAAGATTAGGAAAAGACAGTGAGTATGTTGGGACTGCTGCTGCCCCAAATTCTGTGACTGACACTGAATATCGCTGAGGCTTGGCGAAGGGAGATGGTGGGAAATTCTTGCCATATCTCTACTGTTATCATGTAGTAACCTCATATATGAAAAGTTATTGCAGCCTATCATCTGGAGTCAAAGGCAGTAGACTTGCTGCTCACAAAGTAAACCCCTACCCGTGCTTCCACTGTAGCAAAAGCGAAAGACCTCCTGACTTCAAGGTTGCATAGCTGAAAATTGCTTTTCTGGAATGATAAATGCCCGGGTGCTTGGAGATGGATCGTTTCTTTGGTATGGCTTCCTGCAATCCCCCTTCATCATGTAATGCGGCCGTGGTAATGACTCAACAAGGCCTTCAGCTCCGGAAATTAAGGAATCGGGGCTTATTGCATATTAATGGTAACTCTGGGACAGGCAAATAAGACAGTTTGTTATAATACTAATTATAGCAAAGCACTCATGTTGTGGTTTGAATGAGTCAATTATGTGTGTGTTAAAACTATAAATACATCTTCCCCCCAACCTCGGCTGTGTGGTACCTAATTTTTTTTTAATTGCTTGGATACATATTTACCTGAGCATATCCTGGTTTCCCAGGTAAATATGTGTACCAATGCAGAACTCATTATGGTCTGTTTGGATAAATAATCCATATTTTATAACTGTACAGGAAGTAATTATTTTCGTATTTTGCTTTCTTTAAGCCAAAGAAATTAAATACTGTGTGTTCATTCCTTAAAATAAAATAGATGCAAAAGTCGAGGCAATATGAGAATAAAGTTTTCATTGTTTTGGTAGAAGCTGAGAATATTATTCCAGATTTTGATCTTGTGTTTAGCCCAGAATAACTCCATTCAAGTAAGCAGTGTTATTCAGGATTTACTTAGATGCAAATGGGACGTGAATTTGGCCTCCTCTCCTTACTCTCCCTTACTTCATTGGGAGGTTCCTGTAAGCAGCTTGCACACGGTCTTTGCTTTAAATGATGTTGTCACATGTTTATCATTTGTAAAAATGAGGTATTTCAGCTACACGTAGAAATTAACATATCTGAATTTTATGGTAAGAAAATTAATGTCTTATAGAATTATAGAATGGTTTGGACTGCAAAGGACCTTAAAGATCATAGTTACGGTCCTATGTGTGTTAGGGAACTACAGCATACTTTCATGTCAGATATTTCTGCCATTGTTTTATATGATACTTGGAAAAGCTGTGTTGTGTTATCACCGTGCTGAGGTCAGGTTTTGTAACACTCTTAAGCTTAGTGGGGCCAAAGTCAGCCTTGGCATAAATCCATTAACTGCAATAGATTTACACCAGAGATGAATATTGGCTCGTTCTTGGTAAATTTATTTTTATCCAGCTCTTTATATTTTATGTTAGAAACATAAGTAGGCTTGCGTGCCCTCGAACTAATCAGAATAAGAAACAGTTTTGCTTATGCCAGAAAATAGAACTATCGTTTTTCACATTCTTACATTTTTCAAGTAAGATTATGTTACTGTGACTTCTGAATTCCTGAAATCTCTCTGGTCTCTGTGACTGCAAGGGCCAAGAGAGGGTTTCAAGGGGAAAATCTGAAACTCTTCACGCAGTATGTTTTGTGTTGTGTGTACGAGATACAGTTAACGTTTTGTATGCATGTGATTAGTGTGGAAAAAAATTAATGCAGTCCAGTATTATGATTTATGGACTGAATCTTTTGCCCACTGAACACTTGCCAAAATGAAAATCTTTTTCCCCCCTCTCCTCCTTTGGATATTAGAAACAGCTACTGTTTTTGTTGATCTTTTTAACTTCTGAATAGGCCTATTTCAAGTCATAGCAGCATGGGAGCTCAGATTAATAATATACTTATTCAGCCAGTGATACTGAGTGAAACCATTGCTAGTGTGAGTATGAAGGATAGAATTTCTTTAAATTATTTTCAGGTGCATTAATGCATTTCTGAAAGAAGAATATAGAGATATTTGAAAATAAATTAAATTTCTGTTTATCGATCGTGTTACAGGTGTGTATGAGTTTTAATATCAAGACTTTCTTACGGTGTCTCTCCTTTCGATAACTTGTCCTGTGCTCACTGTCAGTCCATCCGTCAGTTGGTTAACGGGATAAGAGCAAAGAATTAAGATTAAATCTTGCCTTCTGGAAAATGTTTTTGAATTTAGAGGATAAGGTGTATTCCATGCTGTGAAGCATCCTCTCTATCCCACCTACTCTACGGCATCATCTTACACCAGAACCACAGGCTAGCGAGGTGAAAGGAGCAAATCCCATAGACTTCTCTTGTGCCTTTGGGTTGGACCTCCTTAGCCCAGTAATTTGATAAGCATCAGCTTGCACAGGTTTGGTTTCTAATCTTGTACTGGTTTTGATATGATCTATTTGTGTATAAAGTAGCCCAATTTTCTGCACCTGCTGAAGGTGAATCCAAGGCTGATGTGCTTAGTCCCCTCCAAAGAGGTTTTTGGTCTTTACAGCACACTTTGAGGAGTTTGGGGCCTTTAGAGGCACCGTCACGATGGAGGTGAGGGCAGTTCTTTGCTTCACACTCCTTTGGCCACCTCTTATCAATTTTTGTGGCATTCATTGCTCAATCCCATCTCTTTCGTATCTGAATGGCCTGGTCTGCTCAATGAGGTTTTCCCAATTTATTAATAGAGAGTCGGTGTTTCCTGTCAATTAATTTGCTTTCTCTCAAATGAAATAAGAGTATGCCTAAAAAAGTCTTCATGTGAGTCTGGTTTGTACTAATGATAAGTCAAGTAGGGGTAGAGTTTCTTTCAAAAACTACTTCAGTAAGCTGTTTAAAATTAATATTTGTTATTCTAAAAAATTTTGAGAGGGATCAGCCACCCTTCCGCAGTTGCAGATAAAGTGCTATGGCAAGAATTTGGCATTTTTACATTGCCTGAGAGAATTATATGTTCTTTTTCTGGGCTAGTGCGGTGCAAGGAAAGAAAAAAAAAAAAAAAAGGATGTAGCGCTTTTTAAAAGCAATCATTTTAAATATAAACAAAAGAACTTTTGCTTGAGATTTGTCAAAAGTCTTTCAGTGTTTTCAGAAAATTGTTATTCACTTCTTGGCTAACAAGAGCCGAGTGAGTGACACCTTTGAGAGTCCCAGCTTGTGTTTTAGTGCATAGCTTGTATTTTGCTATGCACTACCATTCAAAATATTATCTGAAATTATTTAAAACAAACCCTAGTGAATAAATTTTTTAACACAGAAACAGCCATCCTAATTTATTAATTTATTTTAGTTGCAGCAAGCAGCTGAAGTTTCTCAGCTGAGAGGAGCTCGAGTCATCTCTGCTGAAGACCTCCTGTTCTTAATGCGCAAAGATAAGGTACAGTAATAAAACAGAATTTTCTTACTTTACATAGTAAGCTGCTTATTGTGTTTTAAAGTGTTTGCTTAACCTGTGTGAAAGGAGTCCATCATCATGAATAGCTTTATTTAAAAGTATAGCTGCTCTGCAATTGTGCACCGTACAATAATTGCATAACATTTTAATTAATTCTCATTTTTTCCAGTAACTTCAATTATGAACAGATTTTTTCAGTAGCTTTAGGGTGGGTACTGTACCTTAGAACTCAAAACAATTTCTTAATAAAGGTATAAATATTGAACTTTATCCTTTATATTCCTTTTAATAAAAGTCAGTCATTCTAATTTCCTCCTAGTTATGCAGGGTGTAGATGTGACATTTGACAGTGCAGCCGTTTTACGTTTTTGTCACCTAGGCTGTCAGTAAATCCTGTCTTGATTTTTCCTTTTTTATTATAATAATTAATATTATTATAATATTATTAATATTATTTCCTTATAATATTTTTCGTGTGCTTTATCTCACTAAAATCTCCAAATTTAGGGATGGTCTCGCTTTCTCTGGATAATAAGTAGAGCAAGTCAATAATTTAAAAAAAAAACTATTTTCCTTAAAAAGATTAAATTTTTTTTTTCAAATTTCAAAATTATGAAAAAATTATTATCAACTATTTTTATCAACATTATATATTCTTCCTTAGCTCCCCCCTTTCCCGCCTCGTTTTCTCTCTCCTTTGTTTTAATTTCATTTGATAAGTGAAACCTAATGACCAAAACCATATCAAAATTAAAAAGCACTAAAACCTGAAAACCAATTGCAGTTTCTTTATCTGATACGATCCATAAGGCTAGACTGAAAACAGTGGTCAATATGGATATCAAGGTTCATGAAAAGATGCATTTGTAGGTTTGAATTTCAAAACTAAGCAAAGATTTTGGAGTGCCCTAAAGAAGCCTGCTTTCTGAAAGTCAAACCCATTTCTGTCTCACAGTTGGCAAGCAAAGTACCAAGGAGCTCAAATAAATAATATTTAATGTGGAATTGCTACTGACTTTGATGTAGCTTCTATGTATGGATTTTCTGCAGAATCAAAAATTAGGAACATTTTAAAAATTATATTTACTGAGTAATTATTACACATTTGTATGTTTGTGTTACAAAGTTAGTCTAAATAAAAAATAACTCTGTATAATATTAATTAATATAAATGTTTTTTTTTTTCTCTTAGAAGAAGCTTAGAAGGCTACTTAAATACATGTTTTTCCGAGACTACAAATCTAAAATTGTCAAAGGAATAGAAGAAGATGACCTCCTTGAAGGTAGGAAAAAAATTACTTAATTTGGGGGAGGCTTGGTATTTTATAGGTGTGCTGAACAGCTCAATGCAAAGTATTAATGTCTTGCTTAATAGTTAAAGGCACAAAAGTATTGTCTTCAGAGTAATTTGGTTTAAAATCTCTGCTTTTCCATTTGAAATACTTCAAAAGTAAGTATTTACTTCCACCATCCAAATGATAAGTAAGACTGCTTAATGTCAGAACTCTGTTGAAGTAAGAAACTGGTGCTGATTAAAGGGCTAATTGATTTCAGCATGTGTAATTTAAATGCAGCAGCTACTGTGTGCAATCGAATGGACAGTTGTTAAATTATTATCAAAGGGTTTTGACATGTTTTACAAAAAAATCCCATAATCCGAAGTCATCGAATACTAGTATATGACCTGGGCTTGTTTTCAGTGTGGTTTAACATTTTATACTTTGAATCTGTAACTTAAAGAATGGGAAATACTTTTTTCCCCCATTCCATGAGCAAGGAAAAATTTCTTCACCAAAAGGGCAGTCAGGCACTGGAACAGGCTTCCCAAGGAAGTGGCTGAGTCCCCATCCCTGGAGGCATTTAAAAGACAGGGAGATGTGTTGCTTAGGGACATGATTTAGTGGTAGACTTGGTAGTGTCACGTTAACGGCTCGGCTTGGTGATCTTAAAGGTCTTTTCCAACCTAAAGGATTCTATGATTCTGTGATTCTAAGTCACAGATTTTATAACCAATGCATTCAAAGGAAAAGCTCTGTGAATTAAAAATATCTTAATTTCTGCCATATAATTTGCTGGTATAAAGTTTTGTTGATTTATATTAACAGAAGAACTAGCATTTCCTTTGTAAAAAGTTAAGTTAAAACTTATCATAGCAAAGCTAAAGCTTGCCATACTTTTATAACATCTAGCAAAGTCCATACACAACTTTTTCTGTTTAACTTATTTCCTTTCTCAGAGCCTTTTTTTTTTTTTCCCCTTACAATGAATTCCTTGTGTTTGGTTCCTCTGAGCATCCACATTGATGTTAGGTAAACATTGTACTTCTTGCTTTGACTTAGCCAATCTGTGGATAAGTTTTTGTCAACTCATTTGAGATTTAGTTTGCCTGTGGCATTTTATTTTCACCACACGTGAAAGTATATTGTTTCGTGCAAACAATCTGGCAGTACAGCTTCCTACCTGACAGCTTTGTTTTTTCCATACTTAAGTCTGTGTCACTATTTAAAACAAATAAACAATTTTCGTAAGCCATTTAGATGCTCATGAAATGCTTCCTAAACACAGTTCATCTGGGAGTTAAAGACTGCATTTTCTGGCAGGCTTTGGTAATTGAAGCCATTAATTTCGTTTTGTGAAGCTAATGTCTTTACAGCTGCTGTTCTGTTAGAACATCACCTTGCCAGGATTCCCTAGGTTTTACTGTACAGCAATGGTCCATCACCTGTGGAGCTGCATCTTAGTGTTTGTGTTATGGTTTGCTTTAGGCTGTAGGTAATGAGGATGTTCTGCATGCTTTCAGGAAAGAGCATTTCCTCTATATATTCTGTTGTACAAGTGAGGTTTTTGCACAGCCAAAGAAGTGTGGTTTCTTCTACAGCTCTGCCCACTGTGGATCCTTCAGCGAGAAATAATGATCTATGAGCAGTAGGCTAGGTTTCTCTAGATTACAAAAAACCACTAGGTTATACTAGTAAATACTAAAGGTGATTTTTTACTACAGTGCGACTGCAGCACAGGAGTGACATTGCTTTGGTCAGGTAGCACAACTTGTATGAGGAGGACAGTAAGAACAGGCCTTTTCTGCACAGTGCATCTGGTTCTAAAACACGTCCCTCCTAGGGACATCAGCTGATGTTTGGAGAAGCCAGATAACTGAAGTTTGTTGTTCTTTGCTTACTTTTGTGAAGACAAATTCAACAGTAATAACACCAACAAACGGCAGAAGCTTGCTCAAGACTTTCTCAACTCCATTGACCAGACTGGAGAGCTCTTAGCCATGTTCGAAGATGATGAGATTGATGATGTCAAGCAAGAGCGAATGGAGGTAATTCTTTTCTTTTACTGATACCCATCTCCAGCAGAGAAAACTGTGAAATATTTCATACAGCATTCTGGTCTGATGCCTTTTTCATGCTGCATGTTGTATCATTGTTACGTGTTTTTTCCTTTTACCCAGATGGTCTAAAGGAATCCTATTTCCATATTTTTCTTATTCCCTCAAATGTTTCCTGATACCTAAGCAAGCATGCTGAGAAGGAAGATTATGAAAGGGTAGTTATGGATCTTTCTGTCTGCCATGTATTTGTATTTCCTGCCTGTAGAAAGTAGATTCTCTTTATAAACATTTTGCGTGCATTTTTCACAATCATTTTTTTCATTATTCCTCCAGTTAGAAAATTGTCTCAATAGCATTTGAGGACTCTTTTCATATAACACAGTTTACAGATAAAATTAAAATATTCTGTGCAAACATGCTTCTGTATATGCTCTTCTCTTCATCCTGCTTTCAAGTCCTATTTTCTGATCTATGTACTTATGAAAAATTCTGTCTACATTAGAGAATGCAGTACCATATCACTCTCACAAAGCTAGGTGGGATCAAGAAGCAGTGTAGCTGTGTTAGCATGGATGTCTATGGAACGATAGTTTTGATACCAGTTTTACTCTTTTTCACTGAGGTTTAGCTATACTGGCACAAGATACTACATCATAGCAAGTACACCTTATAGATCTTATCAACCCTATGTCCTCTCTATCAGTAGAGCATCTTCTTGAATGTCGTTTACTCTGAAGTATTTATAAGATCCAAAGGCTGTATCCATACTAATTAATAAACTAGGCCAGGGCCAGTTCTCTGGCCCTGAAGGCAGGGAACATGGTCCAGCTTGGGTCCCTGTGGCTAAATTATCTGTAGGTGGACAGGACTGCCCTGTCTTTTCGGTAGCCTGGTCCATAGTGAAGATGGAGAAGAGTCCGTAGCCCCTGTTCATGCCCAGTTCCTCCTCGTGTCTTGTGTGGGCAACTGGGTGTCAAGGGCAAAACTGTGCCAGGAGCACACTCATAATTCCACACTAGTGTTTGGGCCGATTTCCGTCCTTTTTAGTCAGTAGTATAGTATATGTGGCTGTTGGAAACTTGCTATTTTTAGAGTGCTTTTTATACCCTTTCAGTGGTAGAAGCTGATTACTTTGGTTTGATTTTCTTTTCTGTGCTGAGGTGGCTGATGCATTCAGTAATATTTGGGTATTTAATATTTGACTATTAGGGCCTCATTTCACTGTCAGGATTTCATTGAAAATTCTAAGAAATAACCTGATTTTTATCCTGCCCTAGTTGAAAGTCTCATTTTTTCTTCTTAATGGCGCCCTTTTCAGAACTGGCACTTTCCCAGTCCTGTTTCCCCTTCCTTCTCCCCATTACAATTACTCAAAATCTAATCAAGAATCCCTTCTGTCTAAGAATTTGGCTAGTAACAGGTCCCATTTCTCCCCAGCTGTGAATCAGTGTCGTAGAATAGTTGTTCCCAACCACTGTTTGTGTTTTGGAAACTGAAGGTTTCTTTTCTTTTCTTTGCTTATTTATTTATGCAAAATGTTATGTTTTGCATAAAGGCAGGCAAACCCTTTGAGCTTGTATGCACAAAAATACGTAACAGCACTGTATAATTCCAGTATATTATTTTTTTGGTCTAAAAACTACACAAGTTGCTAGAAGTATGAAGTTCCCTGTCCTAGACAAGGACAAATCTGACTCTATGTTTATCTGTCAAGGAATGTGTTCCTGTAATCAAATATTTATCTTTCATCTGACTACATGTTTTGTTTTTTCTCACTAGACTATAATTCATGAACTGTGGTGTTTGTGTGTGTATATATATATAAAGCAATTCTTCTCTCTGTTGCTCTACTTTATTACATTTTGTGAACTCTTGATCTTTTTCCATGTTAAAAAAAAAAAAAAGAAAAATCAAGATCTACTTATTTTAGAACAGATCCATGAATTATATACAGGTATGAAGTCAGTACTATGTATTTTCTTTCTTATTAGCTTTTAAAACTAATGACAAAACATGAAAGATTGCTTGAGTCATGCTATTCAAAATGTTTAACATATTTTTGGCTTTGTTTTGTTTGGGATTTTGTTGTCACTTTGAGGTGGGTGGAAAGGAATCAAAGATAGTAGGAAATGTGATCCATTCCTAAAGGAAGAGTTGTTAGTGGATGGGCTAGTCTCGTGTATCACATTTTCTTTGTGCAGTAGATTGTTTAATCCATGCTAAGTTTTGGAGGAAATCCAATAGACACTTTAAAAATTCTAACAGCATTCTTTAAGGAATTAGTATACTTAAATCATGAGCTGTGATCTAAAGTCAGTGTTCCTTTTAGGTATCAATTACCTCAGAAATGTGTGGTTATCTTGGTTTGGACAACTGTAAATAATTTCAGTTCCACTTTGCCTTGGGCCAGAATCATGCTAAGTTGTCCAGAGCAGATGATAAACATATATTTCTGATGTCATTATGGGCTAAACAGGATATGATTGTTTAGTAGTATGGTTTCAGTTATGATACAAAAAGCAAATATTGTTTATACTCATTTCTTTTAAAACATTTTATAAAATTAGAGCTAAGGCTTCATGAGATCGCTTGCTGTTCTGTGAGGTCTATTCCATAGTTGTACTGTGGAGAAGTAAGCACAGCTACAAGCCACTTTCAAACATTGCTAAAGAAGAACAAACAATTCTACACTTTTGACTAAAAACACCCACTAACACCGACATATTAAGAAGAAAAGATGTTCTTCTAGGATTGTATATAGAACTTATTGATGTATTGATGTGTTGATGTATTCTGTGGTTTTAATGTGAAGCAAAGAGAATATCTCTAAAACAGTAATAATAGCAATGTGGAAAACAAAGTGGAATACTCTTAAAATACAGGGCAGAAATTAAGAACAAAATTCACATTACTTTGTCATAATAGAAGATTATGTTACTGATACATTGTGATTGGATGACTTTTTATAAAAACTTCAATAATGGCAATAAATAGTTGCAAAGCAGCTAGTTGCAAACCAGCCAACCGTATTGGCAAAATCAAAACAAAATAAAAACTGGAATAGCACCTCTGTCTCACTTCATCACAGTTAGGGTTTTGCCCTCCTAAGATAACAGTAAAACACCAGTGAAACGCTGCTCCTCAGAGTTATAAGAAGTTATAGATGGAATAAACTATTCTCATTCATAGAAGTAGCTGAACTGTGCATGTGAAGGAGAGCTATCCGGATCATAGAAGTTGTCTTCATAACAGGTGACGGTCTCTTGAGAATAACACACATAACAGCGATCTACCTAACACCCCTTTTTATTGTACAGGTTAGGCTCTGGAATAACCAGAGCTGATGGTGCTCGGGAATTCACTTTCCCTTCGGTTGCCTGTTGTATGACAGAATTAATGAGAAATAAAAACTTGCAAGTGGATTGCAATTTTGCTTTCCTCAGTCTCTTACAAATAATGTAGAGGGGAGAGTTAGGATTCCTGTGGGATATGGCTGAATTGGTGTGGGAAGAAGGCGCATGCTCATTTAAAATCTTTGCATTTTTCCTTATTTTGCAGATTGGGTAGAGATGCAGTTTGGGGTGTTTGCGTCCTTATGTTGCTACTCTGAACCTCTCAGGTGACCTGTCCGTAGTAAAACTAGCTGCAGGTTTGATGGTGATTTTGTGAATGGTAACTCCAGTTCTGCTAAATTTTACTATGAGAACCACTATCAAATTTTCCATGTTTTGTTATTAAAAGCAAGTATAGCTATTTTAAAACTTCAGTCAATGTCACTGCAAAGCTGACTTCTCTCTCATTGTGTAAATATCCATTTTTTATCATTTGTTTTATAGTTCCAATACCTCCCCCACCAGGAAGAAGTCTTCCCATCAGAAATCTGAACTGACATACGAAGGAATGCATAGAGCATCACACTGTGATTGCTCTGTTTCACTTTTGTTCCCCTAGGATTAAGAGAAACACCATTCATCTGTCACTGTGACTGCTAGTTTAGGGATCTATTTCCAACACTCAGATGTTACATGGCAATAATTCAGTTGCAGTAGCTACCATAATGCTTTCATAGTGCGTTGCAAGTTTGAATAAACAGTGGAGGGAAAAATAACTTCGCTAGAAGAATACACTACTTTGAAAACAGGCTAAATGCCAGTGAAATGTTCAAACTAAGTTACATCCCTACAGAAAGGGATTGGCAGAAGCTTGTGGTTCTTTAAGGTGTATTGTCCCATGAATTACGTTAGGTATTTTAAAACTACAGATACATATTATTATTCTAGAAATTTCATTGTAGATGTGATTTTTCCTGTACTGCTCATTAGCATGCTTCTTTTAGTGGGAAGTCTGTACAAAGCTCACAGAAATGCAGTGGGGCCTGTGCAAAATACAGTAGATTGCAATAAAGTGTAGATGTGTTTGGAATATATCCTTTGTTCACATAAGATTAAATTGCTCTCACTTAATTTTGTCTGTGTTCAGATACAATTAATTTGTGTCTGGACAAAAGACCTAAACACAGGTAAATGCACCTTGGGGTACAAGAAATCATGCTCTGGAAGTCCACTCTGCTTCAATTATAGAAATAAGGTAGACCCGGCATTTAGTTGCATCTATAGTAGTAAATTAGACAGTAACCAAGAAGATTCCTCCCTACTGGAATATGATCACCTGAATTAAAACTTTTGTGTGGGCACGCTTTGACCCGAGCCAAGTAGCGTTGTCCCAAACAGTTCCTGGGCAGAGTCTGGGAGTCAGCATGGGCCGGGAGCTCTCTCCGTGGCAGGGTTTGGATGTGGCCACTCTCTTTGGGAGGCGTGGAAAGCAGGAGCATGGACACAGATTGCTCCATGCTGTCTCCCTTGGAGCTAGGGCACGGACCTGGCATCTTTTAGTTGAGACAGCTAAAATTTGGTGAGATAATTCAGAAAAAAACCATACAGGCTCTTCTGTTAAGAGAGGATCCGAAAGATGGTGTTGAAGTACTCAAA